CAAACCCAAGAAAGTTTAAATTAAAATTAAACAAAAAATATCTCACATAAAATTAATAATTAGGTATATTGTTGCTTACACTTATCTGTTTTTTTTTTCAATGTCCCTTTAGCCCTTTTAAATATCTATAAACACAATATTTTCTACATAAAAATTTCTAGTATGAATTTTTCATTTACCGAATTACCGGTAAATTTCAAAAATTTACCGGTAAGTTTACCGAATGTTTTTTTGTCAATTTATCGGTAAACCGGTATACAATCCCTATCTCTTACATTATGATTATGACATGTCTATTTGAAAACGCAGATAAAACATTATTAAACATTGATAAAATAGATTTTTGAGGTTTACTTTGGATTATACGATTAAAAACTATTATAACTATTTATACATAGATTACAAAAAATTAACTCTAAATTAGAACGAGCAATTATTTATTGTGACATCGTCACAATGCCTGGTTGAAATTTTTTAGATCTTGATGCACAACGTTCTTGATTTTAGTATCTTGCCCCTGTACGTTACACTTTTCCTGTTAACAAGAGAGTCATGTCGGTCATCCATCCAATATTAAAAAGGCCATATCAAATTTTAAAACACCCAAAACAAACTATGCTCGTTTTTTATCTTAGACAAAAAAGCTGTTTTAAGCAAAAAAAGCTTTTATTGCAATCATGTATAAAGGAGAACGATATTGGGCCCACATTAACCGACTTGGCCATTAGACGGGTCTCAAAACTCCAGGAATTTTTCGGTTGTTCGTCCGGGATACGTCCCTCACCACCTGGCCATCCCATTGTGGGCCTGGCTTATTAAAAAGGAAAAACAAATGAAGAAAAGGCCTAAGGTTAAACTTCTCCACTTTTCTTTAATTTTATCCACTTGACAACTGATGGGAAGAAAGGGAGGATAAGATGCTGTAACCATAAATTACATTTGAAAAAATATAGAATAAAAAATTTTTAAGGGTTTTTCCTACTTTGGTAAAATTTTTGTGTTTTTGTCATATATATATTTTTTCAATAACATTATTTATTTATTTACTTATATACAATTAAGAATTAAAATGTATTTTCCAAAAAAATGAAAAAAGTTTGTTTATTTATTTCGATTTAGATCATATACCTGATTATTAGTCTCAGAACTAAAGCAATAATACATTTAGAAACCTACACATACATCATTTTAATTACACAAATGTATCTACGTAAGATAAAAACAGATAAACTAAATACAGTATAGCGTCGTTTATCCGAAACGTCGGTTATCCGAAAGAATTCCAGTCGGCAAATTTAAATTTCCGCTAGTGCTGTGGCTTGAGCTATCTTGAGCTACTCCAATATTTTTTATGTTTGTGTATGTGTTTTAGCTGGCAGCACTGACACTTTTGTGTGTGGTTTTTCCGAGGACTGTATGTCATGCTGAATCGAACGTTTTTTGATACTAGATAACTTCTAAAGTATAAATTTTTTTGTTATTATTTTTTTCAATATATTTATTTTGTTTGTAAACAATAAAGAAATAATTTTTAACGATATAATAGCCACGATTATTATTTTAAAAAGTTTATATTAGCATCGACGAAAATTCAACGAGAAGCGACACGCAACGGAGAAAAATTTCAACACGATAGGTTAACGTATTTTTTCGTACATAATCGGTTATCCGAAAAATAGGTTATCCGAACCATCTGTCCCCAATTGATTCGGATAAACGACGCTCTACTGTAATTTGTCAATTTTTTAACACGCCTTTCAAAAACCACCTTTATTATATGACGGACTTTCGCCTCTCATGGATGTCTTCTTGCATAAATTAGCTCCTTAAATCGAGGTTTTACTGTACAAACAACAGCATCAATTCGAAATATTCGTTAAAAAGCTATCGAATTTTTCTACATGTAACTAGCACCTTATCTTTGCCGAGAAATATAATTTAATTTCAAACAAACGTTTTCAGCCTGATTCACAGGCCATCTTCAGGTTGAGAACCAAATTTGAATTAAAGGATTCCATTAATGGAATACAAAATTCAAAATTAAATAAGCAACGGAATATGATAAAAATAAACATTAAAAATTAAATATTAAACAACCAACGGAGAAACATAAAAATATAAAAATGTAAAAAAATGTACATAGAAGTATTAAGAAATATAATTACTAACACATCCAATACAATTACTATTTTGACTGGTTAGAGCTCTTATTAAATTTCTTAACTATAAACTTCCATGCAGAGGGAAGACTTTCTGCATCCCTCGCATTTAAACAGCCTTCCTGTATTTTACTCCTATAAATCTGCAACTTTTCAGCTGTCAACGCCAAAGATGGGGAAGATAAAGGTTCTATGATGGTTGCCTCATTCTATTTGACTACAGATCCTGGTGTTTGCGCCATTTGGGACAAAATTGTTGCATTAGACTCCTTTCTGATATTATAACTATGTTCCTTGATTCAAAGTCTCAAACTCCTGGTGGTTACTCCAATATAGTCTTTTTTAATGACCAATTGCATATTTTCATAAGGAATTCTATAAATCCCTGCTTTCTCCTCTGACATTATATCATCCTTATCATTTCTTAAGATTTTGTATAAATTAGGGGCCTTTTTATAAGCATTCTCGAACCTTTTCTGAGAGCAATCTCTTTCATAACGCTATTCATACTTTCATTATATGTAAATTTTACGATTCCAGTGGGAGCATTTTTAAAAGACTCTTTCTTGTTGTTCGCTTCATACTTCCTAACCATTCCTAGAATTGCGCTTTTTCGGTAATCTAGGGTCTTGGCCATGCTCATTATTCTATTTATTTCTGTACTTCTGTCTTGTACTGTTTCACAATACAAAAATGTCCTTCTTCTCTGAAAGCTGCAATTTTATATTTATACGGATGCTTGGATTGGGAGGGAATATAAAATCGGCTGTGGGATGGTTTAAAAACGCTAGTGGACAGATGGCCTTTTTTAAATTTAATATCGATGTCTAGAAAAATTTAGATCCAATGAACTCTTCTGCTCCAATCTTAAAGTAAGGCCATTATTGTTATCATTGATCTTATCCAAAAAATCCTTAATCCTGCTGTTATTTCTCCATAATATAAGTAGGTCATCAACGTATCTGCTAACATAAATGACATCCCTCTTAAAACCATGAAAAATTGTTCTTTCCAGTCTTCTAACCACCAATTCACATAGGATTTCTGAGAGCGGGCTTCCCACAGGGACCCCTCTTCTGTCTGTAGATCTGCCCATTAAAAATGAAACAAGATTCGCGACACACCAATCTAGCCATACCCTCTACTTCCTCGGTATAACTAAGCAACTCCGAGTTCTTGCCGTATAAGAAATTCAAGATTGCCTCCTCGTATGATTCTATCTTTACTGAAGGATACATGTTCTCATAGTCGAAAACAGTTGCAATTTCATCTTCCATTAATGTAATATTTTGCAGATCTTTGACCACTTTAATAGGATCACACGCAACTAGAGTATCCGTGTCCAGCTGGGAGGGTAAATATTCATGCAATTTCTTTTCTAATACAAACGTGGGACCCTTGCATTTCTCTACAACTGGTCTTATTTCTTTACCGGTTTTATGTACAGTACCTTAGCGAAAGCAAACAACCTAGGTGTTCCAGGTCTAGGGTTCCTGCATTTTTTTAGAAAAGGCAAAGCTCTGGAAAGTTATAGATCTCTGGTTTCCTGACCCTTCTATCAAAACTTGCAATAATCTTGCTGTTGACACTTTCACACACTGTCTTTTCGATGTAATCCATTAATGCTTTGTTATAAGTATGTCTTTTCATGATGACCAGTTGTTTACTTTTATCAGCTCTAGTCCCAAATGGCACAAACACCGGGATCTGTAGTCAAATGGCTTGAGGCAACCATCGTAGAACCTTTATCTTCCCCATCTTTGGCGTTGACAGCTGAAAAGTTGCAGATTTATAGGAGTAAAATACAGGAAGGCTGTTTAAATGCGAGGGATGCAGAAAGTCTTCCCTCTGCATGGAAGTTTATAGTTAAGAAATTTAATAAGAGCTCTAACCAGTCAAAATAGTAATTGTATTGGATGTGTTAGTAATTATATTTCTTAATACTTCTATGTACATTTTTTTACATTTTTATATTTTTGTTACTCCGTTGGTTGTTTAATATTTAATTTTTAATGTTTATTTTTATCTTATTCCGTTGCTTATTTAATTTTGAATTTTGTATTCCATTAATGGAATCCTTTAATTCAAATTTGGTTCTCAACCTGAAGATGGCCTGTGAATCAGGCTGAAAACGTTTGTTTGAAATTAAATTATATTTCTCGGCAAAGATAAGGTGTTAGTTATATGTATAGTGATTTGCTGAGTACTTTATGATATTATCGAATTACTCTTTACCATTATAAAATGGCTCTGAAAAGAGCCGTTTCCTCACTAGATTATAAAAAGCTAGCAATTCCCGTTGACCGTTTTCATTTATGGACGCTTATTTTCTTCCTCGAACCCTCCTCCTGCTTTTGCTGCGTGATCTTTTTAACCCCCTTCTTGGTTTGGATGTTCGTCTCTTTCTATTTCTGCTTTTCCTAAATACAAATCGAACTTTTTTCTTGTCTTTTCCAATATTTCTTCTTCTCGATCTCCCTCCTCTTTCAGATCCAGTGCTTTTACGAATTTTTTGGCGTCCCGTCCGTCTTTTGCTATGAATATTTCGATGTTTCCTGAGGAGAATCTTTTCTGCGTCATCAAGCATATCTTTCGGATGGAAAACCAACTTCCGGTTTAAAAGATGGACTCTCTCAATTGAGAGTTCGTCACGATCACGCCTTTTTTTAGAATCGTGAGAATTATTCATATTGCTTCTTGCTTAGTAAATCGAAAGAAGAAGAATAACAGAATTCGACGCTTTCGAACAATATTTAAAAATAAATGTGTTCTATCGCAATGGAATATTTAAAATTCAAATTAAAATGTTTGTTATATTGAACTTTTTATTAATTTTTTAAGGCTCTTTTAGTCTTGTGGAAAGAGGACCCTTTTCCTCATACCTATCGTGAATCAGTCAGGCTCAGAATGGGACGAGCAGTTGGCGAGAAACAAGACCGACCGCCCATGAAAATTTCTTGGATGGTCGTCCAGATTCGATCCAGGAACCCTAGAACAGTAGGCTGACGTCTTAGCCGCGTTTTGACTTGTATGATTTTAATTCTTGTTCAAAGTTGCCAATTCGATTTTTATAAAAGAAAATCTAAAGACATCTGAGATGTAAAAACATTGCACCAAATAAAAAAAATTATGACAATTTGAATGTGACAGTCAAATTTGTTTTTTCTTGGGAGTTTTTCTTTGGTAGAGAAAAGCTTGACGCTTTAATGGAAACCAGTTTAGTTCAGCTTCATTCTTTCCTACATTTCTCCTCCCAAGATTATCTTTACAAAAGAAAAACTCCAAAGTAAAATTTTCACCGTCTTATAAATTGTTATGACTATTTAGAAATTTTTTTCTTCTCGCCAAGCAAAAAATTGACATTTTACTAGGCACAATTTTTTTACAACTCGGATGTCTTTTTTCGGATTTCAATTGTTCTTTGGTTAATAATTGTGTTATTATATATCGCCCTAAGACCAGGGGTGGCCAACAGTTTTTGCCCCCGGGCCGAATTGGAAAGAGAACTTTTTTCACGGGCCAAACCAGAGGCTGCCCTAAGAAGATTTTGAAGTGGTGTGAGATCTCATCGTGGTGTCACCCGGTAGAGACTAAATTATACATAGAGATTACAGATACATTTTTTACATTATCATGCTTTATCAACGTTCTACGCTGTACTTAAGAGATTTGTAATGGAGGGTTAACTCTAAACGGCCAGTGAGTTGTTGACCTTTCTTTTTAGGCGTCAGAATTTTTCATCGAACTGTTCGGACTTGAGTAACTAATATTGAAAGATTTATCGAGGGCCACATAAATCCGTTACACGGGCCGTATGTTGGCCATGCCTGCTCTAAGACGGTTCGGTCGGCACTCGGCAATGAGATGGCTATCGACCGAATGTTTTTAATACGGCGCGCCGTATTGAAAGTATTCGGTCACAGTAGTTTTTTTCTATCTAGAACCGTTTACAATGTTTGATGAAGAAAAAAATACAGCTTTTTTAGATCTTTTTGCACTTTTCAATTGCTTATATTTCGGAATTCCTTTACAGATACAGTAATCCTGAAATTTTGCACACTACGTAAGAAAACAAGTATCTTTCGCACGAGATATTCAGAATTACTTTAGACGTTTGTCCTGAAAATCGGCAACTCCGATTCCTGTATATATATGTAGTCTGTCAGTGTCTTTTTCACTTGACGCGGAGTCACTGCAGTGACTCTGAATTCTTCAGAAAATAAAGATTTATAAATGTAATAGCCTACGTTTAGAAGGGATAATCGTAGTAACAAACTTTACTTGTTATAGTTATGTTCGAATTCTACAGACATACATGATAAATATGAATCTTTATCACTGTTCGACCAGTAGTACCGATATCATTTTCTCTGCTTCTTAATACTATACAAGTACGTATATGTTTGTTTGTTTCTATACGGCAACGTGACGGAAGAACTTTCTAAGAGAAACTGGCCCTATTTAGGTGTTACAAACGTGAAAAAAACCCGGGAAATTCTGTCATAAGACCTTTGGTGAGGCGCTAACCCAAGACCAGAGTTCAGTGATTTTATCCGCTGGGCGCAACTGGTGGCCAGCTGATTAATACTGTTTATAATACAGATAATTTCTACACATAATTCCTGTTTGCAATTTTTAGTAAAAAAATAATTGAATCTTCGTTGAAGAATTAGGCAAGAAGACTTAATTTTAATTAGTAAATAAATGCTATTTTGAAAATCACTTTCTTATTTTTGTATTCGAAAAAGAATAGATTAACTTCTTAATCTCTCGATAGCAAATATTTTCACAATGTCGACGTTTATTTTTAAATTAGTCGATTTCATTTAGTTAACTTTCCTTGGTTTCTTTTTATTGCTATTTTATATAGTGGAAGAAAGAATTAATTTTTTCGATACTTTTTTTTTTAACTCTCCTTCCTGTGGGCACTAAGAAGGCCCCTTTTAGCAAGTCCATTAGGATTTCTCGACTCGATTCCGGATCGGTAGGCTGTCACCTTGACCGCTCGGCCATTCGGCAGTTTTTTTCGATACTTGTTGATATGATAATCAGATGTTTGTGAACAGCAGCAACAAAGTAAACTGAACATATATTTAAACATTTTAAGGCATACACTTTATGTAGACTATATTAAGAATTGCAGATACCAATTTAAAAATTTGCTAATTTATAAACTTCGTTGCAAAGAGGTTTGCCGTTGCAGGAAAATGCTCAGCTGCACACCGCCCATGATACTGAATTTCGAACATTTGACAGTGAAAACTTCTTCATGCCATTATAGTTGTGGTTTGGTAATATCGGACTTTCATTTCTTTTTCAAACTAAATAAGGCATTTTTTATGGCCTATGATTCCAATAGGATGAAGACGTTTAAGAAGTCAAACATCGAATATGTCGTTAAGACCTCTTCCAAAGCTATTCTCATTGATCCTACCGCTGCGATAAATGCTTCCGCATACAAGTAACTCTCGGAAAGTCAGCTGTTACAGTTGACTATTCGAGGAAATATTTTAAAAAAGAGACCTCATAGTCAGGGTTTCCCAGAAGGTAATGAAGGCCTGTGAGAAAATAGACATGGGGACCCTGTAATAAATTGAATCATTATATTAAAAGCAAAGGAAGTAAACATAAAAAGCATTGTTTAGGGTCCCCTACTTTTTCGGGAGACGAAGCAATTTGCTTCTTTTGCTCCTTTTTTGGCATCTCTGTTCTTAGAGCTGACAGGGCGAAAACAGCAAATCTTAATAATAAGAATAAAATAATTATATAAAATTATAAAAACAAATAAGCATTAGTTCAACACAACAAGAATTTTTAATTTGAATTAAAAATATTCCATTGCGCTAGGACAGATTCGTTTTTAAATATTTTTCGAACGCATCGAATTCTGTTCTTATTCTGTTAATGACGCTGCAAAATAAACAATTCAACCGATTATAAAATAAGAAAACGTGGTCGTAACGATCTCCCATTAGTGAGAGTCCATCCCCAATCTGGAACGTTGAAACCTTCGGACCGGATGTTGGTTCTCAATCTGATGGATGAGTTTGATGAAGCAGAGAGGATTCTCGAATGGAAAGATCTCAAGCGCCAAAAGACTCGTAAGCACAGTGGATCTAGAAGAGGGAGGTCAAAAAGAACGAAAATCGGAAAATTGATCTAGAAGGAAGACAGGAAATAGAAAGAAACGAACATCTAAATAGAGAAAGAGGCGAAGTACGGGAGGAAAATCACGAAGAAATATTGGAGGAAAAAAGAAAGTAAAGCGTCCATAAGATAGTCATCAACTCTAACGGTCTAGGGAGCAAACGGCTCTTTTCAGAACTATCTTGTAATGGTAAAGAGTAATTCAATAGTAAAAATACGTAGAAAGACTAAAATGTCTCCACTTTTGCCATGTCCAATTACCGGGAACGACAATCTTCCACTGCAGAGACGACCTTTCTTTAGAGGCTACGTTCCCGCATAAAGATGCAAAACAGTAAAAATTCTCCAGTGACAAGCCCAAAACAATTAAAAATACAATAATTCATTTTTAAAAAATTGGCTGATGAATTTACACAATTATTATGTACAAATATTTTTACTAATGTCTAAATCCGCCTGCCAATTTATTTAAAAAGAAATTTCAGTAAGTCGATAGGTTTTCTCGAAAAATATATAACATGTATTTGTGATCTCGTTTAAAATAGTATGAAAATAAAACATGAAATGAACAGTAGCTAATCTAAAATTTAAATAAAATAGCCAATTACACATCATTGATAGTTGAAAAATATAGAATGCCTGGCGGTTTCGATTGACAACATATGACATTTTATAATATACTGTAATGGAATATCATTAAAACGCATATGCCATTAGTTCGAAATTCAACATAAACATATCATTGATATATTAATTTCAGTGTTTCAATTGTCGAATATTTTTAGAGTATGACTTATATAGAGGACAGGATTTACGATTTTAATATTTAACATTCAGTGTAAGCTGCTTTTTTTATAAATACTTATATCCAGTTATATTCATTTTCTTTTCCTGTGTTTAAGTGTCTCTAGTAGATGACACAACTGACAAACCTTTACTAAATATTTTATTAATCTGAAAATGCACTTTGAACAATTACTCTTTTTCAGTGTCATACAATGTTAGGCCAGGAACACACATACGTAAAATTCGGCGTAAAATCTAGCATAAAACAAAGAGTAAAAATTTTTCTGAAATTTTGGCTGAAACATAACTGAAAAAAGAGTAGAGCATGTCTCTACTTTTTACGCGCGTAAAATTTTTACGCCAAAATTCCTCCAATGAATAGAAGTCTTTTTGTGACGTCAAAGTAGACACGTGGTTTTTATTCTAATAATGGCGGCAGTGAGGGTTAACCCTACAATTGTGACGATCTCGAAAAAACGAAAAAATAAATGAAATAGAGTTTATTGAATCCGTTCGACCACATCAGTGTTATATATAAAGACACTGTATTTAAACAACGTTTATGGATGGCTTCTTCTTCTGGTTCCATATTCATTTCTGAATGTAGGACTAGTATTATAACAATCTCAATTGTGCTTCACGTGTGATTTCTTCTGCTTTCTTATTATTCCATTCACATATATTACCTAACCAGCTTTTCCTTCTCCTTCCTGGGCTTTTCTTTCCACAGATTTTTCCCTCTAAAATATTTCTCAAAATTTCATATTTACTTCCTCGGATGATGTGGCCAAAATACCCCGTCTTTCTTCTTTTAACTGTATTTAAAACCTCTTTTTCTTTCCCCATTCTTTCCAAAACTTCATCATTTGTTATTCTATCTGTCCAAGATATTTTTAAAATTCTTCTATATAACCACATTTCGAATGCTTCAAGTTTGTTTAACGTATTTTTATCTAAGGTCCACGTTTCTACTCCATAAAACAAAACTGACATCACTAGCACCTTAACATTCTAATTTTAAGATGTAAATTAAAAACATTGCATTTAAAAAATTTCTGCATTCTGATAAAAGTACCTCTTGCATTTTCTATTCTAGATTTAATTTCTTTAATGCATCTGCCATCTTCCTGTATGATAGTCCCCAAATACTTAATTGATGAAACTGTATCAATTGTCCTGTTTTGTATCTGCAACGTTACATTATCTATATTTTTCTTGCATGAAATAAGTAGCTTTGTTTTCTTATAATTCATCTGAAGTCCATATAATTTACTTATTGAATTAATCTTTTCCATTAGTATGGCTATAGGTGCAAAATTTCAAATAACAGGTAGATCTAGTAGAATCGATATATAGGCCTAGTATTTAGATCACACGTTCTTTATTTGAATTCAGAATACGAATCTATTAATTAAATTTTCTATATTATAGCAGAGGAAGCGGAGAAAAAATGGAAGGTACAGTACAAAGGGATAGATATACGAGAGAAAAAATTAATAAAATGTAGCGCTGTTTGTGGCAGTGGCATTTCCTATTCGTCCAGAATTTTTACGTATGTGTGTTCTGGCATAAAAGCGTAAAACAGAAACTGAACCGAAAGCTGATTTCTGATTTAGTTTTCTGCCACACAATTTTACGCATGTGTGTTCCTGGCCTAACACATTTTCGTGTGTTTCCTTATCCATCAACTACCCTTGTTTTCTTATCTCATAAAATACGGCTGAATTTCGTGATTGCAAGATTGGCTACAAGTATCAGATTGAGATATTTGTGGAGCTCTACACTTCTAGACTTAGGTTTTTTTAAGAAGTAGAGCAGAATTCTCAAAATGTAGCCCAAATTATTTTTAATGTAACCAAAAAATTAGTAAGTTACCTATCTGTTAACTTGAGATTCTTACTGGACACTCCTGTTAATATGATAGTAATAAACCTGTAGTATAAATAAACCTGCAGTTTATTTATATTATTATTAATTAACGAAAGTAGCGTTCTATATACTGTATACATATAGCCGTATTCCGTTTGCTTAATAAATTATATTAATTGATCCATCCGGATCGATTTCGGTTCCCCCAGAACGGTAGGGTCTGGGGGAACCGAGGTCGCTCGCTACCTTCACCGCTCGGTCATTCGGCCGTCCGACTACCGTATTTCGGGTAGCACAAGTTTTACGAATACCAAATTTTGTCGTATTATACGGCGTTTTCGGTCTTAGTTGCTCAAGAAATCATTATGCTAGTAGCAGGTAGTCGTTACTTAAGTAATTATTTTTCGGTTTTATAATAATCGTGAATACGGAATATTAAAAAAACCAAATCAAATTTTAAAACCTCCAAAAAAACTATGCTCGTTTTTGTCAAAACTCTGTTTTAAACAAAAAACAAACGTTACTTTTAAAAAAACTTTTTTTGCAATTTTCTATAAAATTGATGTCGATCGTACAGTACAGTACAGTGTGAATGTGCTATATCTTCACCTAATAAATCCAATCTATTTAAATTAAACTATATAGATATTTTAGCGTTTTATTTATAAATATACTTTTATAGATTTTAAATATTAATATATCATAAAAAATCAAAAAGTCAATAATAACCAGCAAATTACTATTTTTACTTTTGGTTGGCAACACGAAAAACTGCTTTGAAACGTGAGTATGTAACTGACATTTTTGGAATTTTTATAATATAAAAATAAATCAATTTCTTGCATGATTTTGGAATATCGCGAAATTTTTAATTACAGTCAACATCAAAATGAAAGTTGACGATTGTTTAAATATTGATTCAACTGGATCTTTAAAGAGAAAAAGCGTTTCTTCATCAGATCGACCGTTAAAGATGTTGAAGAGCGGCCATGAAAAAAATGCATTAATGATATTATACGAATTAAACATTAATGTACAATATACAGTGGAAAGTGAAGGACCAGATCATTGTCGCATATTTACCGTATCTCTTGAAATCGATAATCAAAAATTTTCCGGCCGAGGTAGTTCTAAACAAACGGCGAAACATATTGCTGCAGAGAAGGCATTAGCTGCAATTGGTTATGTTGGTAATTTGGTTAAATATTCTGAGAAAAGACACGAACACAACGTAATGAATACCGATGTAGGAGGAAAACACCCCGTTGAGCTACTAAACGAACTTCATTCGGATTTGAAATTTAATGTAATAAAAGAAAATAAGTCAGTTCTTTTGGCGAGGTTCACAATGAGTGTTGAAGTTTACGATGTTAAATTTGAAGGCTCTGGTCAAACCAAAAAGTTAGCCAAAGCTGCAGCTGCGAGATCGGCTTTGCACACTTTGTATGGTATTAATTTTTTGAAAAATAATGTGAATCAGGTACCTTTACCTGAAAAATATTTACTCCCTCAATCAGTAGCAAGTGGAATATGTAGAGGTATTCACGAAACGTTTCAAAAAGTAATGGTCGACTATGAAGATTACAGAAAATG